TTTCGAAAAAATAGAAAAATGAAAAAAAAAAGACATAAATGACATGCTGTAATCAGAGTAGGCTTCATGGAGGAGGTGGCACTTGACCTTAATTTCAAGGCCATTAGCATGTGCCATCTTGCAGGGAAGAAGACATTCCTAGCAAGTAGAAGCCATACAAACAGAGGCAGAGAGAGAAATACACACGACAGTCAACCTAAACATTGTAAAGATTTCATGATCAAAAGCAGTGCCAACCCATTAAGCATCTTTTAGAGTTTTTTTTCTTTCCTACAGAATTTTTATTTGATTCTCAAATATATGTGACTATCAAATATCTTACTCAACATTTGGCTTTGTTTATCAGACATTTTCAAATTAATTCAACAAATATTTATAATATGGTGTATAAATTTCAGTGACCAAGCTATGCTAGGCATTATAATATATAGAAATGAAGAACTCATTGTCTCAACCTTGAATATTTTGTTGCCTTGTTGGTGAGAAAATGTATGTATAAGTAAGACACAAGGTAGTCATCAAACCAAGGCCATTCAAACATTCCCCAAGTTTTGAAACTCCCTACATATAAATCACCAAGTATATAAAGACTTTCCAATCCTTTGGATATGCAGGAGCTATTCTTCTACACACCCAACCCTCCTCTCATACCCACTGTAGCTCCTTCCCACAACCAAGTTATATTGATGGTGCCCTGCCAGCTAGAAACCATCATTGGCCCCCTGTTGAACCCACATCTGTCATTCGTTGATCCTTTTGTTTCCTTACAAGATCAATGAACACGTCCTGTAGCCATCATATAATTACCACCTCCCTCTACCTTGATTCAGCTGCCTTTTGCCACTCACAGTTCAGATATTTCCACCTCAGACAACACCCTTTCACACATTTAATGCATCCTTTTGGGGGCCTATCTTGTTTCTCCTCTTTCTTCTAATACTTGTCAAGTTACTGGAAGGAAAGAACACAAACTCTCTCATGTTCCCTTTCTCTTTGAACAAAGAATCCCTGGATGCCTCCCATACAAATAGTGCTAGTAACCATTTTTTATTGAAGAAAAGAAAGGTACTATGTTTAAAAATGAAAAAAAAAAAAGATGTTGAATTAGTGACATCAGCTTCTAAAGCTTTTGAAAATATGCAGAAGTTTCTTTCTGAATCTCCATGAAAGAAAAACCTTCCTCTAAAATTTTACAATTGCTTCCTCCAAAATATCTACTTAGTACAAGATCTTTAAAATATCAAATTATATCTTATTTATTTATAAATGTTGCAAAAACATTTTCTACTTTTTATTTTTCTTTTCAAATGTAACCTACTTGAACAATAGAATTGACTGAACATTCTGAATTCCAAATGAACAACCTTCATACAAATTTTGTAATGTAATGCATTTATAAGATGAGGATGCCTCATATAATGTATAATTCAAAATGAATAGCATAAACAATACCTATTATATGAGTTGAAAGGAGAGAGACAGGAGAGTGACAAAGAGACAGTCATAAAACTTGGGAACACTTTTAGCACAGAAGGTAAAACTTGAACTTGACTGTAAATAATAAACTGATGTGGTAGGGAGAAGTTGAAAGGGTACCTCAAGTTGGGAAAAGACTGTTGACAAACTTGTATTTGGTTGAAATGGAGACTTTACGGAAGAGCAAAATATACTGACCAATCGGGATTGGACCAATTTGTAGGTCTTTCATGTGACGAAAGTGACCGATGTCACATTAAGGAATTTCATGGATTCTCTTCCAGAAATAATGGAGAGCTATGAAAATTTGGAAGGACTGTCATGGATTTGACAGAGTAGTTTTAGAAATTTGCCCCTCCCTGGTGATGTTCAAGGAATTAGAAAGCAAAGAGATTAGATAGGAGGCCATTTATAGCCTTGTGAGATGCCAGAGGCCCAGACTAACATGGTAGGGATGTTAGACAACAGGAGCTCTGACTAATGCTTCCAGCAGAATACACCATAGTCTTCAAGGGGGTGAAGGAAAACAAGACCTTAGAAGTGGTAGTGAGGTTTCAGATTGGGTGACTGGGAGAATGCAAAATACACCTAATGGCAGAAACAGGGAGGTCAGAAGAGGGAAAAAAAAATGGATGGGGGGCGCCTGGCTGGCTCAGTCAGTAGACCATGTGATCCTTTTATCTTGGGACCATGAGTTCAAGCCCCACATTGGGCATAGAGCTTACTTTAAAAATAATTATAAATAAATAAATAAATAAATAAATAAATAATAAGTAAGTAAGTAAGTAAATAAGAAAAATCGGATGGGTGAGAGGATATGGGGCCCAACTCTGTCAATAGAAAGTTAATGTGAGCCACAGAATGCCACTTTAAATTATCTAGCAGCCATATTCAAAACACTAAAAGTAAACAGATGAAATTGTATTTAGTAATATTTTATTTGCCTTAATATATTCCAAATATTATCATTTTTACATATAATCAATACAAAAATATTGATGAGATTATTTACATTCTTTTTCTCACACTAAGTCTTTGAAATCTGGTATGTATTTAATACTTAGAGCACATCCCAATTTAACTAGCCACATTTCAAGTGCTCAGTAGTGACTGTGGCTGGTGGCTACCATATTGGACAGGGTATTATTGGCCAGTTTACTCAAACTAACAAATATTATGTAGCAAATGTTTCAGTTCAGCTGGTGCTAAGATTCACTGTATTTTGGAAATTATAATTCTGTTTATCCTTTCTCCTCCTCTATTCCTTTTGTTTGTTTTAGCTACTTCATATTCAAGATGAACATCTTTAACAGAACATCATTCTTTCCCCAAAGCACCAAGAATCTTAGAAATATCCCTGATAGATTGTTTCATTGCTGTCTCTTAATTCTCCACTTGACTTACAACTTTAATTAAACAAGTCAGTCTGAATCTTCTTTTTCATCTCCCTTTCTCATTCTTAAAACTCTTGATTATGAAATAACTTAGCAATATGTCCTCAAAAACCTTGGGTAAATGACACTTAGTACTTTGGAAATGAAACTACATTTTTCATGTTCCCCTGTCTGCATATGTGTGTATTTCTCCAGCATTTAATGTCTGTCATAAACTCGCTGGATTTTTGGTCTTCACTATATGCTAAAGAACGCAGTATGAAAGGGAGCCTACTTCTATAGAAAACACGCCAAGGACATTGTGTTCCATCTTTACAATGAAATGCAGATTTCCCATTAAAAGGCAAATCCATCATTTCAAAAGGTTGAATAGGATGGTGCATTAAAAAAATCCAGCTGCTTAAATTTAGGGCATTGAAAAACATCCAATAAAAAAAATGTTCCCTGGATTTCAAGCATTTTCATTTGATTATGTATTGGATAGCTTTTCATTCAATCTGTGATCTTGCCTCTTAGAATTCTGTCCTAAAATAGCCTGACAAGTGTTTCAAACAAGTTAGACTTAACTATGATACTTCATTAACTTAAACTATGTATTTTGTTACTAAGAATATCCTTGTGTTTGCTAATATATTATTGAATTTTGCACAAGAAATATTGGAGTTTTCTTACAGTGCTTTGCTTTTTCATGTTTATTCTTAGGCTTCTCTCACTCCCATTTAGTTTCTTTTATGTGTTTTTGAGCTTCTTTGCTGACATTGTCTGCCAGGACAGCCATTTGGTTCTCCAGCCAACTTCCTTCAACTGATTTAGTCCTCTATTTCTCTCTGCCTCCCTATTCTGATGTGTTCTGCCCAACTTTTCTCTAATTAATTTGGGACTAAGAAGTGGCAAAGCCAGTGATTCTCTGGGCAGTAACTCTCTCTGGGGCCTGCAGACAACATGGCCCCCACAAGCTGGCTAGGGTGCACATGTGTGTGCGCGTGCACCTGCATACGCTCACGCACACACACAGAGTTCTGCTCCACTCTACTGAGCCTAGTGCTGTAGGGGCTATGGGGACAAAAAGGCTTATGTCAAACATGTCTGTACAGTGCACGCATTTTTTGACAGGAAATACAGTAATAGTAGTTTATTAAAAGTCATGGCTAAGTATCCGTATTTCCCTCCTCTGGAGTCTAGTCCTGCTTTTTCTCAGGACCAGCACCAGAGATACAGGCTGGGACCATACACAGGGTACTCCTGAACAAAGACTGTGCTAAAATGCCCCTGGTAATCGATATTGACTAGGTTTCTAAGCTGAGTGTTTGATTCTCTCCTATTAGACGGATGGTTAGGCATTTATACATATGATAATATTGTCCCTGGGTCAATCCTAATAGTAAATATTTCTAATAATTCTTTGGCATCCAGTACGCCTAACACAGTTTAGTCCCATTTGCAGACCTCCCTCCCCAATTTCCATTTTCTTCCTAAAGAATTGTTAATTTTAAAAGAGAATTTATTCTAGTTAATATCAGTCTACTTCTAATGGGTTCTTTTTTCTCAAAGAGCTCAACAATGGAATCACTTTTTTCTGGACCCACATTTTATTCTAGACCCAGATGAAGGAAGTATTTTGCTGTGCTTTCTCCTGGTTTATAGGGGGGTATTTCATACCGGGGTCCTGTGCTTCCAGGCTCCTGCCACCACTGGCTATCAAAACTGCTTAGGTTGCAAATAAAATATGAAATGAAAGCCATCTGGCATTTCTCATTGAATTAGGACCAGAACATTTTTGTTAAATATTAACAGATGGCTAAATTCTTAATATCAAACTAACATTTTAAAACATCTAAGGGGACCCACATGAGGAAGAAAGGATAGAGGACCATGTGTTCTCTCTATCACTGAGCCCTTCCTTCCTCCACACTTTTCCTCCCCTCATCCTTCCGACCCATGTGTTGAGAAGCACTGGAGTCTCTTTTCTCAGATAGCTTTTATTTATTGATAGCTGGTATTAAAATAGTGTGTGATGGTATCAAAATATTGTAATCAGTTGTTGGCCAACTCAGGTGATGTGTTGCCATTGGCAGGCTTCAAGATCTTTTATTAAAGCCAATTTCTCTCCCTCTCGTTCTCTCTCAATAGGAAAAAGAAAAGAAGTATATGCTCCCTCTGGACAACCTGAAAGTTCGAGATGTGGAAAAGAGCTTTATGTCTAGCAAGCACATCTTTGCACTTTTTAATACAGAACAAAGGTAAGAAAATGGAGAAGCTTCTGTCTTCAGATATCTTTTACTTGAATTTCTGTGTGATCTAGAGATCATATTTACAAGAGTTCCTTTGGTCCCAACTTGAAATTTGTTAACTCTATAGTTTTCCTTTCATTTAGCTTGTATGTTTAGCTTTCACCCTAGGTTATGGGTTCAAAAGATTAAAACTTAGAGTAGGAAGGATCTTCAAATATTTATTAATTATTCCCTGCTCTTTCACCAGGCACCCAAATCATGCTGCTTTCATTCTTAAAGTACATTTTATTATTTTAAAGTCTTCCTTGTCCTGAATTTATTTATGTACATATTTACAAATTACTGTCATAATTTTTAATAGTACCTATCCAGCATGGGTGGATATTACCCAAGACCTTCTTATTTATATTAAGATGGCAGTTTTGCATTGGTGAATAGAATTATTCACTTAATGCGAATACAAATATGTAGTACCTCACAGTTTTTCAAAGCATTATACCCAGTCATTTTTTAATTCGTTTCCCGTGAGGTCGAAAGATAAGAGTAGTTTGGTGACCATTTTATAAATTAGAACTGTAGCTCAGCGAGGTTAACTGACTTTCTTCAGATCCTAAAATTAGTACATGAGAAAGCTTCAAACTGAGTCAGGACTTCTGGGTGTAAGTCCTTCCTTTTCCTTCCACTTGTGTTTCTTGTCTGGTTTTGTTGCTGTTGCTTGTTTGTTTTCCTGCCCCTCACCTACAACATCAAACTTAATTTGGGGCTGATTATCATGGAGTGCCATGGTTACTTACTGAAGTCAAGCAGTAAAATTAAATAAACAAATAGGGAGGTGATAGAACGTGGCGTAGAGATATGTCAGAGGGTTACAATGAGGTGAGGATAACAAGGAGATATTTTCCAAATGGAAATGTTCTAGGAAGAAGCTAATTAATCTGTGAGTCAGTTATTAAGAGACTGAGTCATTAGGTGGCAGGGTCTAATTTTAACCCATCTCTTTGGCCTTTTATCTTTATTTAGCAATGAATGAAGTTCCTTGATTAGGTTCAATGACCTGCCCAGGGTCAATCACACAGTAAATTAAAATAGCAAAAGAAGGCTTCTTCCTACATTCCCAGTCAGTCGCTCAGAGTGACTCATTATACAGAGATACTTAGAAAAACCACAAGAACAAATCATTTAAAAAATCAAGGGGAAAGAAGATTAAATGTAATTCCCCTACTGAACACTGAGATGGGAGTTTTTAAAGACTTAGTATTGTTTGAGAGTAGCTTATGAAAAAAAAACACTGTGATGATAAAGAATAAAAAGATTTCCTGGAGAGAGCAGTAGTGTGTCCTTGTACTAGGGCCAAACTTAGTACTGTTTACATACTTTCCTCAAAGCAGTGGGTAATTGGGAGGTCCCAAAGGAACCTTCACAGATGTGCTCAGCCTTCCTGCCTGAATGCAGAGTTGGAAGTGTGACTACTACCAAGATGTCGATTTGAGTTCTTGGTCAACCTGGAAAGTTCAGGTTATAAGAGGGCTTGGTCCAAAATTTAAAAAAATCAGACAGTGGTAGAGTATCTTTTTAGATGAAATACAACTGTGGGTGTTTAAGAGAGCAAAAGGCACCAAAATAAGATAACTCTGACTTCTAAAATTCTAGGTAGGTATTCTGGAATCCTAGAGTTCTCAGAAGGTAGTGAACTCTTCAAGCACTTCTCAGAGACCTCTGTGAGTACAAGGATGTCCCATCTATAGGCATATTTGCCATTGTCTTTTCCTCTGAAATCTTGATTATTTTCAGTTATTTTTGTACTGGTTAGAACCTCCAGTACAATGTTGAATATGATTGGGCATCCTTATTTTGTTTTTAATTTTAAGGAGACTTATTTAATTATTTTATAATTAAGTACTTTCTGATAGGTAACTGATATCAGGTAAAGAAGACCCCTTGTGTTTCTAGTTGCTAAGGTTTCTATTTCTGTTTGAATCATGAGTGAATGTTGAATTTTATTAAGTGCTTTTTCTGTCCCTACAGAAATTGTATAATTTTCTTCTTTAATCTGTTCATGTAATGAAATAGATTAATAGACCATATAATGTTAAACCATCCTGATCTCTTGGGATTAAACTAAGTCATTTTACAGTATTATTTATTATGCATTCCTGGCTTTTTTGCTAAGAATTTGCTTAGACTTTTACATCTGTGGTTATAAGTGAGATTGGCCCATAAATGTCCTTTTTTTGTGCTGACCCTGCCTGGTTTTCATATATTTCTTTTTTTTTTTTTTTTAAGATTTTATTTATTTATTTGAGAGAGAGAGAATGAGAGAGAACACATGAGAGGGGGGAGGATCAGAGGGAGAAGCAGACTCCCTGCCGAGCAGGGAGCCCGATGTGGGACTCTATCCAGGGACTCCAGGATCATGACCTGAGCCGAAGGCAGTCGCTTAACCAACTGAGCCACCCAGGCGCCCCATGTTTTCATATATTTCTGTTAGCTTTATAATTGAAGTGGGAATAAGTCCTTATTGTTCTTTGGAACACTTCGTGTAAGATAGGGATTAACTGTTAATTGATTATTTGGTACAACTCATCCATAAAATCAGCTGGCCCTAGTGGGCAGTTTTGCTAAGTAAACTTATAGCTAGTGATTTAATGTATTTAGTAATTTTAGGTTTGTTAGGTTTTCTATTTTTATCATGGGTCATTTTGGATAAATTATATTTTTCTGGGAAATTGTCCATTCTATTCATTTTTAAGTATATTAGTATCAAGTATTTTTTAATGTTCTATTTTTTCAAATTCCTGCTGTATCTGAAATTTGACTCCTTTTTATTTCTAATATTAAACCTTATCTTTTTAAACATAATTATTCTTGTCTGACTTTTATCTATTTTCAAAGAAACAGCTTTTGACTTTTTTTATTCTTTTTTTGTTTATATTTTTTCTATTTCAATAATCTCTGATCTTTTCTTCAATATTTTCTTCCTTGTATTTTCTTTTTATTTATTTTGTAGGTCTTTTTTCCTAGCTTCTTAATTTAGATGTGTATCTCATCAATTTTTGTCCTTTCTTTTTCTTATATATGCATATAAATTTATAGATTTCCCTCTAGGTAGTCTTGAAATATAATATGTTTTGTTATCATTAAGTTCTGTTTTCTTCATCTTCTATTTCTATAATCTTCATTATGATTTCTTCTATGAGTCATTTAGAATTATGTTTTACATTTTTTGGTGCATGGACTTTTATTGGTTTGTTGTTGATTTCTAACTTAATGGTATTGTGGTCAAAGAATACAGTCTAGATATGGTGAATTTTCATAAGTATTCCATGTGTGCTTGAGAAGAATGTATTGATTTGGGAGTGTGGGGTTCCATGAGAGTCCACTGGATTATGCTGGTTCATTGTATTACTCAGACTCTATAGTTATTATCTTTTTTCATATTACTTAATTCAAACACTCAGCGAGTTTATATTAGGCAGCCATATGTGCCAGGCACTGCTCTATATACTTAAAATACATTTGTGAATAAAATAGACAAAAAAGATGATACATTTTAGATTATGTTCCAGAGAGGGGTTTTGGCAGGGAGACAGATAAAAGCCATAAAGAATCTCACTTCATCAGAGGGGTATTAAAAACCTCACTTTGTAATTATGAGCTTGATTATTGTTATTTGCTTTATGTATTTTGAGGCCAGTCTATGTTATTAGATTCTTGCAAGTTTAGAATTGCTTTATCTTCCTGAAGATAGAAATATATATATAATTTTGTGGCGACCCTCTTCATTCCTAACAGTGCTCTTTGCCTTAAAATTTATTTTGTCTGCTGTTAATATAACTATATTACCTTTCTTTTAGTTAATATTTGCTTGGCTTATCTTTTTTACCTTTTTTGCTATCAACCATTTTTAAAAAAAGACTGTTTGAGAGAGAGAGTGCGGGTGGGGGTGCAGAGGGAGAGAGAGAATCTCAAGCAGACTCCCCGCTGAGTGTGGAGCCTGACGTGGGGCTGGATTTCACGACCCTGAGATCACAACTTGAGCCAAAACCAGGAGTCTGACACTCAACCAACTGAGCCACTGAGGCGCCGCAACCATTTTGTATTTTTATTAAGTGTTTCTCTTATACTGCATGCATCTGGATTTATTTGTTTTTAATCTAATGTGAGTCCTTTTTCTTTTAGCTAGTGAGTTTAGTCCATTTATATCTTTATAACTGATTTATTGAGTTTATTTGAACACCTATTTTAGTCTTTCTCTTATCTTGCCTTTTCTATACTTGTTTTCTACCCTCCCCACTTCTTTCCTGACTTTTTAAAATTCAAGTTAATTTGTTTTTCTCCTTATATACTTTAGTAGTTATATACTTTATTTTTATTCTTTTAGAAGTTATATACCTTATTTTTTTATTTTTATTCTTTTTAATTACTCATTTTGACTTTAAGTTTGAAGTTAGTCTTTCTACTCTTTTTCCAAAATGACCTTGAAACACTTTAACTCCACTCACTTTCCTGATTTCCATACTGTTGTTACCAGTATTTGAGTTCCATCTTACTTTCTTACCACCTTTTTCAAATTGGTTCACATAAGCAATGTTTGTTTAGATTTATTAACAAGATTGTCAATTTCTTTGTTCACTTTCCTCTTGTATCCCAGTGTTTAATATTGGTTCATTCTCCTTCACACTAAAGTATACCTTTTAGAAATCCTTTCAGTGGGCAGTACTTGGTTGTAACTCTCAGTTTGGTGTTTGTTTTCCTGAAAATGTTTTTATTTTGCTCTCATTTTTGAATAATACTTCAGTTGGATATTAAATTATATATTGATGGTTCTTTTATCTCATAAGTTTGAAGTCATTATTCTCCCATATTCTGGCTTCAACTTTTAAGAAATCATCTAATTGTTGCTTCTTTTTAAAGTTAATCTATATTTTCTCACTGGGTGATTTCAATATCTCTTTTGCTTTTGGTATCCTGAAGCTTCAATATGATGTGTTTATGTGTGTTTTGCTTTA